GGGAGGGTGGCACTAATTAGGATACCTTGAAAGTGCATTACTTCTATGCGTGCTTTATCAAATTGTCAGCCCAACCCCACCCCAACCCCCACTTCTGGCAAATGCATTTTATGAAGGATTTATAACATACACTTTTTTATTTGGGTTTTGTTTCATTAAGTTTTGAAACAGCAAAAAAATAAGATTTATTTGAATCAAAAATGTTTTACGCCACCATCCTATGAAGAAAAAGTATTCAAACACGCATTCTATTAATAAACTCATCAGTATTTTTTAAAATTTTATTTGTTAAATTAACGTTCTATATTTGTACATATCATTGAACGTGGGATATCATTTCTTTGAAAATATATTTACAACTGAATGAAAAGTTCACTCCTTCACATTTCACCTAACACCTTCGGAAAATAAATACATGAAACACACTTATATATGTATTAAAACAGACGTATGCATGTCTTAAACCAAAGTTGTACATGTCTTACAAAACACTTATACATGTCTCAAAGCAGATGTCTTAAAAATCGAAGTCTTTGAATACGGTACAATAAAAATACAGCTTCAAATTTCAACCACCGTTTACTCACGATAACATCAGCCCAGGTTAAAAAAAATTTTTTTAAAAAATATTTCTTTATAACAGCAGCATTTAAGGCTCGTTTCATCTTGGTATGGCAATAAATCCAAAAGAGAGCATTACCTTTGTAACTAGTGGTCTGGCATGCAGTCGTGAGGTTGCCGAACACCGTTCTCCTTCCAGCGACGTGACTGCTAAGCTTTAACTAAACATCGAAACCTTCTAAGGCGTAAAAAGAAACTAGGAACATGCAAAGTGAACATAAAATCAAAAAGGAAACGAAAGATAAAAACAAATATATATTGACATCAATCACCGTTTTATCAGAAAACGCTTAAAACTGTCATCACTGTTACGCAAATAGCCTTAAGGCACATCTGCACAATATGTGCTTTTGTGAACGGTGCATCCCACAAGCCGCAACGTGTTTGGTCCCCGGAGGTTTGAAATGTGTATCCCGGTGGTGAAACAGTCTTCGTAGTGGACCAACATTTTCATTCGTAGTACCGGATGGTGTGGCAATTCAACGTCTGATTTTAAACACCGCATAAACCGACTAATCGAGAACGCCAGGAACATAACACATACAAAACACAACCTTCACTGGAAGAACTATTTGAAGAAAGATGTTTTTGTAAAACTAAACACATTTTGGATGATACATCCCACCCTCTTCATTACAGATATTTAGAATCCGTGGTTCAGGACGAATTCTTTTCATCAGGGCGAGGACTGAAAGATATAGAAATTCTTTTGTTCCCCAATCTGTACGAATTTACCAGCGTGCTCCCCCTGAAGTCACAAATCTTAATGAGAACTAATAAGTCCCAGATATGGCTAAGAGAACTCACGGAATGGCTGCTAGTGAAAAAAATTATTACAAATGTCTTGTTTGAAATAGTTTTTTGTATGTGCTGAAAATGTACAATGCAATCATAAAACATTTCCATTTGTTTGGATCAATAAAAGCATATTATCTCATCTTATGTCCCTCCGTCTATATCTAAATTTGATCTACCATGGAAATGCTGGCGGGTGATATCCTGAACCGACAAACCCTGTGATAATCTTTACTGGCATTATGGAGTAACAGGAAAACTAGTCAGGATCCTTCAGAGGTCTATTTTCTTTTTTTAAATGTCACGTACGGGGATACAAGCAAGTAGATTTAAAAATGCCTGTAAGATGGAACCAGGAGTCAGACATGGATGTCGCTTTTCCCCTTTCCAATACATCATTGATATAGACTTGATAATGAAAGAATCCACATACAAAAAGGGGAACAGAACACAGTGGTCACACAAGGAACTGCTGAATAACCTTGAATTTGTAGATGGAATTGTACTACTGTCCCCCAACCAACAGCAAGTACAGGAAACGATAGGTGATGTAGCCACAGCTCGGACTCAACATGAATAAAAGCGAGGTGGCGAGGTGCAGCCCGGGCGATCGTTTGTTTAAGATGACGACGTCGCTGGCTTTGAGATTGCTCTCGCACCACGTGAGGTCGTCGCTGGCTACGATGAAGACCAGAGAGCTATTGGGCAACAGTTCTCTCAATGTCGCAAAAGCCTTGACGTAATACGAAAGCTGCGGTACCCCAAACCCAGCATTTTGATGACGCTCTGCTAGGAAATCCCCTCTTCTGACGTGTACACCGACAAACACGACGTCACCACCTCTCTGTTTCGTGAGTTGCCGGAATAATTCGTCTCTGTGCTGTTGAACCCCGGAGTGGAATGTAAACTCTCTCCTGATTTCGTCGTTTGCGTGGTCCAAGAATTTCCAGGAGAACAAATATCCCCAAAGAGTGATTTTTTTTTTACGGAGGTTGAAATATGATGGATAGAATTGTGCGTGATTTTCCCGATGAAAAGTTGTCCATCTAAAGAAATTTAGGAGAAAAAATATAATAAAATGTGTAATGGAATTTGAGCTTAACAAACAATATCTTCGTTTTTTAAAGCATCAATTGCAACAACGGAAAATGTACCGAAAAAAAAAATATAAAAAAAAAACAATAAAAAAAAAAAATAGCACTATTAAAATTAAAATCAACTTTTTTTTAAAAAAAATTGGCTAAATTCTCTTTTTTAAATTATCAATCCTCTTTTCACTTCTGCTAAATTAATTTTTTATTTGATCACTTCGATTTAAACATTGATGACCATTGAGATTGAAACATAAGTTATTTGATAATAACTTTTCGTTAGATTTTTTTTTTTTTATATTGTAGCATGACGATAATTTAGGTACATTAATAGAGACGAGTAAGTATTACAATTTAGCAGATGAGCGAGTTTACGCACCGATAAAAAAAAGATCGAAAGACAGACAAGGCGGAAATGGGAAAGGACACGTATTGACATATTGTCGTTTTAAAGGTGGTAGTTGGAAGGTCAAAACAAAGGTAATCTTCTCAACGAATTGAAATGTAATGGGACTGCGGCTGTAAATCATCGATGTGAAACTTATTCTATATTGTGTAAGTTGTCAATAAATAAATGATATATAGAAATTGGACGTCTGCGAATATATAGAGTGACTAGCGTGGACAACAGCTGCGTTGTTGAAGTGGCTTTACATCAAATCGTTACAGTTGAAACTATCACTAAGCTACATAAGAATATAGAAATAGACCAAGGCGGTTATATTTCGCAATACTGTGTCTGATACAAGAAAACCCTGACACCTCTATCTATTTGTCTAGATGTTGAATGACTAGCTACAAGTAAGACAACATGATCTCTCACATCTCAAATCAAGAATTACTGGCCCCTCACATCTCAACTCAAGAATCACTGGCCCCTCACATTTCAACTCAGGAATCACTGGCCCCTCACATGTAAACGCAAGAATCACTGATCCCTGACATGTCAACGCAAGAATCACTGGTCCCTCACATTTCAACTCAAGAATCACTGGCCCCTCACATGTCAACGCAAGAATCACTGGTCACTCACATCTCAACTCAAGAATCAGTGGCCCCTCACATTTCACCTCAAGAATCACTGGCGCCTCACATCTAACCTCAAGAATCACTGGACTCACGTATTGACAACGAAGGGACGCAATTGTAGCAATACAGCAAAGTCGGCCAAGGCAGACTTTTATTTTTTATTCCACAGCCATTCTCAGACGGTGTGAATGATACAATTAATGCGTCCCGTGTGTCGCTTCTCAAGTGTTGACATGAAAAACTAGCTGCATTGGACGATTCCTTGGATAAAATTAGCATATTGAATGAAGTAATTAGGGATATCAACACAGCTGGAGTTAATGGAGGTAATCAGACTCATTATGAAGAAGATTCGCCAAGTCAAGAGTTACCCTGCAACGTACGGCCCATGTCCTGATTGTACACTAGTTACTTAAGCCGATAATAAAACTTACAGTTCTGACGTAATGTAAATATGACCGTTACGAACTTGATTAACTCTGCATACACATGTCTCACTCAGTAGCATACGACCCGTGTGAAGGCAGAGCGGGTGTTCTCTTCATCGGGTTACTTTTGTAATCATTTGCGTTTAAATTTAATATTTATAAATTTCATATTTATCTATACATTAGAGAGTCGAATAATTGACTACTGATTATTTCAAACATCGGATGTCGAAGCTAACCATGGATCTTAAAGACTTTCTCTGTACTCGCATTTTGATCGAGTGTGATGTTTGTTTGTCGTTATATTTTTGTGGGTCATGAGACACTCCAGGTCAGTCAGTTCACGGTATTTTTTAATTTCAATATTGTTATTCTGAGCATTGTAGTACAATCACACATGTCACGGTGGAGCATTGTAGTACAATCACACATGGCACGGTGGAGCATTGTAGTACAATCACACATGTCACGGTGGAGCATTGTAGTACAATCACACATGGCACGGTGGAGCATTGCAGTACAATCACACATGGCACGGTGGAGCATTGCAGTACAATCACACATGGCACGGTGGAGCATTGCAGTACAATCACAAATTAACTCTGCATACACATGTCTCACTCAGTAGCATACGACCCGTGTGAAGGCAGAGCGGGTGTTCTCTTCATCGGGTTACTTTTGTAATCATTTGCGTTTAAATTTAATATTTATAAATTTCATATGTATCTATAAACTAGAGAGTCGAATAATTGACTACTGATTATTTCAAACATCGGATGTCGCAGCTAACCATGTCTCTTAAAGACTTTCTCTGTCCTCGCAGTTTGATCCAGTGTGATGTTTGTTTGTCGTAAACTTTTTGTGGGTCATGAGACACTCCAGGTCAATCAGTTCACGGTATTTTTTAATTTCAATATTATTATTCTGAGCATTGTAGTACAATCACACATGGCACGGTGGAGCATTGCAGTACAATCACACATGGCATGGTGGAGCATTGTTGGACAACCACACATGGCACGGTGGAGCATTGTAGTACAATAACACATGGCACGGTGGAGCATTGTAGTACAATAACACATGGCACGGTGGAGCATTGTAGTACAATCACTAGAAAACAAAAAAATGAGAACACAGTGTTTCTTTTAGAGATTTTCCACCTGGGGAGCACTTCAGATGTTGGGGGGGGGGCATTTCAGATTTTTCGGGGGTGCAGTGCCTGCAGTTCCAGTTGATTTATTTTTGGACATATTTTTGCTCAGGGGAGGCACTTAGCTTTTCCCGGGGGGGGGGGGGGCACTCCCCCAAGCCCCCGGAAACGGGGTTGAAAGAAACCCTGCCTGTGGCACAATTCAGATAAAATATAGAACTTATTGTTCACGTAGTTTGCAATCTAAAAACGTCTCACTTAATATATATGGAGGCAAACACGACTGCAAAGTGGCCTCATATTTTATCACAAGAACCAGTCATCTATTTTTCGGAACCGACCTGCGTTAACCATTTATAATACATCACTATAACACACAGTACACTATGCAACATACATGTATAAGGTTACATTATGTTGGGTTCTTTTCACTTTCTTTAACGCTGCCTTTCTGTCCAAGTGTCTGGATATTTTAAAAAACATGTGCTATTTGAAGCTGGCCCTCATCCAAATTACATTCTTTTGGATACTTGACGCTATAAATTAGATCGGCTTAAATGTATTTATTCATACATTCGGTTGCCTTCTTTTTGTCTTTTTCTCTTCCATGACATAAACTTCCTATAAATTTAGGAACTGTTTTTTTGTTCAAATGCTATGAAATTCTGCACACAATATATCTCAGTTCTTAATCAGTTTTATTTATAATCATTGTTGTTTTGATGATTCCCTACATAAGGCCTGCTCAACACAATGTGTAAGGTGGGCCGTAATGCGTTATGGAAAACTTGTGTGGGCCGTAATAATTAATGAAAAACTTGTGCTGGCCAAAAGATAACAGGGCAGGTCCGTAAGCTTTTAAGAAATTATTAATAATAAAGAATATTTCGTTACTCTGCGGGCCGCCAAGTGGGGGCTGGCGGGCCGTATGTTCTGCAGGGCTGCCCAACATGATAGGCCAAGTTAGCTTACCTCACAAGGTTTAAAACCTTTGACACTGTTGGTGATGGTCTGTTGAGTTGTACATCACATAAATTCCAGTTAAATGAAACAATAACCATTTTTGTGGGCCTTTATTTCTAAAATCTTTCACTACCCTCAGTTGAATAACATCATTATTTTTTTCATAAATAACCTGCACATCAAAGATGGTGGGTAGAAGGGGGGGGAGGGTGGAGGAAATACCCTTGGTGGACCAAAGTTATATTGGACATCTTTCCCGTGCTGTAAGACTAGCAACACTGTCATTGAAAAATAAAATGTTGAGAAATATCAACAGTTAATGACAATCCGATCATCGGCTATGTATTTCCCCACTTGCACTGGGTGAGACCCTCGCGGGGGGAGGGGGGGTGTCCTGAAATTCACATTTGCAAATATGAATGAGCCTGGTCAAGCCAATTTGAGAGGGGGGGGGTCCAGACATACACATTTGCAAATATGAATGAGCTTGGTCAAGCCAATTTAATGTAACCGAAAGTAGTTCATACATTTTTATAAGTACAAGCGGCTCATCAGAACGGGGTGTCTGTCATTAGACTGAGCCGAGTGCCACCGGTCAGATAATGTGCCACCGGTGAGTTCTGACATCGGTGGTAGACTGGGTTCAGCCTCCTTCTGCTGTTGTCAATTTTTAGTGTCTCCTGTACACGGCCGACCCACCGACGGGTTGGTCTAACTCTGAACAGAATGCCTGCGATTCTACGTTTGCAATCGAGCTTGGTTGATACGGGCTCTGATCAGGTGGCTTAACAATTAATTTTTTGTTGAGCCACACAATGACAACTTCGGATGGCACTAACCATTTGTCTTATTGCTTAGTTCCGATTTTCTGCGACACCTTTATTTCCAAAGATATTGGATGACTGAAAGTATTGGTCGTTGGTACATAGAGAAATACGTATGTTGATTTCCATTACATATTTGGAAAATACAAATAAAAACAATAAAAAAAAAAAAAAAAACATTTAAAGAAACATTCCGTTTGGAATGAGGAAGTTTAGTCCTTCATTGCAGTCCTTTTAAATGAAATCAAGGCTTCATAAAGATAACCTAAAGCATAATGCACCCAAGCTGTGCATAGAAATATATCAAGAAAAAATATTTAAAATAAGTATTGAGTAAGTTAAAGTAAGCGTTTACTCCATGATTCGGAGCTAATCAATAGAAGTATCAAACGGTGATAATCAATTTGTATGTCAAAAGGCGATAATCCAAATGTATGTAAAACGTGATAATCAATAATATGTCAAACGGTGCTTATGAAAAGATGTGTCAAACACGTAACAAATTAAATTTCAAATGATAAATTAAACATATTTAAAAATATAAGTTTTAAAAAAAACTTGAAGGACATCGA